GTGTTGGTTACTGTCGTGGTTCAGACTTTCTGATGGATGTAAATTATCTCCACTACCTCTGGGACGCCCGCCAGGCCATCTCCACTTCCCACAGGTCAGTCTCAACATTATGTTTATGTAAGATAAAATCAGGGGATGGACTATGAATAATTTATATATATATATATATATATATATAATATAAAGTCTTACAAATTGGGTCTCATCCAGTGTGGTGCAGGGATAGGGAAAAGTGGATTAAAAAAATGGATGGATAGGTGGGTCATAGCACATTACTCACCTAGAGACACAGTGACCACTCAAGAAATAGTGTTGCAAAGGCGTCCACAGTGATGAGGAAACAAACCTCTTTCAAGCACTGAACCTTTGTGAAGCAGTTGTGCTCAAGTAGGTTTATTATTACAAAGCTTTTAAGGACACCTGCTGGGCAATGGCTGGTATTACACTGGAAACTGGAGAGTTGGAAGGAGCTTTTGGTAATGTTATGAAAGCATTTGCTAATAAAGTATCAAACACATTTTGAATTCTTTACCTGATTATGGCGTTAGATAAAAAGTTGGGGGATCACCTCTCATTTTGAGGGGAATCTGAAATTTCTCTATAGGAAAAGTCAAGGGATCAAGGGATTCAAGGGATATCTCTGGAAAACTATGAATGCCTGTGTCAAATGTCACGATATTTCCATCTGGACCACCATACTGACACTAAACCACACTAAAATACACTAAAAGTTGATAATGATGCTCAGATGATCCTCAGATCCTGTTTTTGGGAATGACCCAGTAAGAGAATATTTTATTTGATCACATTTCAGCTGTGATGAGTTTTGCTTTCTTGCAGGGCATGTCAGCTCTGGTCAGCTCCGTATGACGGGATCAACCCTTTGCCTCAAGAATACCGATCTGACACACCAGGGGATGACATAGAAGATGAGGAAGAGATCGTACAGCGAGCCAAGAGTGACTCCATCTGCTCTTTGGTCGTCACTCCTCCCCCTTTGACCCTCTCTCCGACCCTGTCCTACTCAGATACCGTCTCCACAGGCAACCAGGCAGGAAGAGCCAATTCTGCCCTGGAGCTGGAGTGGGATGACATTTTTGCAGATGACGATCTATCTTTATCAGGGGTACTAAGCACAACATTCGCAAATGGCAGCATGACCATGGATGTGGACCGATGCACTTCTACACCTGCACCCCCTCTACCTCCTCGACACATCCAGGAGATGCGACGCACCGCGACCAAGCTGGTGCATGGCTCGTATGTAGAGGAATCCGAGTTTCAGGACGATGTTCTGGTCTACAATCTTGTCGCCCAGACTGATACAAAGGCGGCTATTTTGGAGCGAATCATGGCAGCAAATAGACGGGCCCGTGGAAGCATCTCAAATGGCCAGCGAGTGTCAACAACAGCAACGACAACAACAATAGCAACAATGTTAACGACAACAGGTAGGACGGTAATGGAAACAGTGAACAGTATAATGTCGACAAGGAGGAGGAGCGAGGATGCAGGCAAAGAGGAAAGAAGATGGAGCGATGATTATGGGAAGAAGGTGAGGAGGAGGAGTGAGGACTGTGGAAAGGAGATGTGGAGAAGGAAGGAGGAAGCAGAAGATGAGATAAGGAGGATGTGTGCACAAGGAGAGCCAAAAGGACGTCAGTTTTTCACCAATGGTTTTAATGCAAAGCATCATATCATCGACGAATGTGATGATACTGATGAAGACAGCAAGCCATTTAAGCAAAACTGCAACCAGGGTGACCTCATAACTACTGTCAAACACAAGCACACACTGCACCAGCAGCAAATACACCACAACACACAACATCCCATGCCACAGTCAGTGACAAACGCTTTACCTAACGGCCATTCTGAATCTGAGCCACGTGACCCTTTGGTCTCTGCAACTGCTGCCAAGTCTCCAAATCTGCCTGGAAATAATGTCACCAATAAGGATGACTTCCTGTCCCGATACCACAAGCTCATGCTCTCTTTGGGTGTGGAGCCAGACTGTGACGACATCACAGATGACATCAGCACATTTAGGAAGCGCGTCCGAGAGCTGAGGCAAAAACTAGAAGAGGAGGAGGAAGGACTTGACGAAGAATTTGTTTTTAGTTCCTTGTGGGATGACAGAGAGGAGGAAGGAGAGGAGGAGGTGATGGAGGAGGAAGAGGAGGAAGAGGAAGGAGAGGAGAGGAGGAGTGGCAGTAAGAAAGGCGGCAAGAGACATGGAGTTCCATTTACAGGTTTGTGTTTTCAGGCACAAGTGAATTTGATGCTGTGTGAACAAAGAAGCTTCCTGGAGCAAAAACATCCATTACAAAAATTGAAAATGGCATAATGATAGAAGAACATTAGAAAATGACCTTTCAGTTAAGACAGTATTTTCTAAAAATATAACGACCTGGTTGGAAACATAAGATAATCTTTTACTGATCCCACAGAGTTAAAATTTGGGTGTTAAAGCAGCACAAGGACAGAAATAACAAAGACCAGTGTATTCATAAGATTGTGTAGTTGATAACAGTTGGTTATCCTCAGTTATCCCTTTTTGCTCTGTGGTCCAACAACAGTTCAGCAAGCCTTGGTCAGCACCTCAACTTTCTCCTATCCTGTACTGAGATTATTATCTGCTATGCTTGTCTATGCTGAAAAGACAACCACATTTTATTTTGAAGACGATTAAAGGCACGGGGCATAGGAAGGTCACAAGTTCGACTGTTGACCTGTTGGCAGTCTGTTTAAAGTTTTCCTGGACTACTGGCAGGTTGTAACCCAGACTTAAAAAAAGGGTACATAAAGTAATGAAGAAGAAAACTGGATACTAAATCAGACATAAAACTGCCTAATATAATATAAATTATATTTATTTTGATGTTGTAAAGTCTCAAGAGTTGTTCAGTGACATCTAGAGGCAGTCATTGATATTCTGGATGAAAAATAAAACAAAAGAACAACATAAACTGAATTCAGTTAACTTAAATTTCTAATTAATATTTCGAGAAGTGACATGCTAGAATCTTCCCAGAATATGAACGTTTTTTATTATTTTTTACTGGACTAATACATCTCTATTGTTTTGCACCATATTCTCGTTCTATCACACACACTAACCTGTAGTTTCCCATGATGCCCCAGGTCCATTCATCAGCGTCCTGTTGTCCAGGCTGGAGAACCTTCTGGAAAACTCCATTGCTGTGAACCTGCTGGTGACGGGCATCCTGGCCCAGCTGGCGTCGTACCCTCAACCTCTGCTGAGGTCCTTCCTGCTCAGCACAGACACACACAACCTGCCCAACGTACGCACACTGTACCAGGTAACATCTACACACTCACACAACCACGCCATGTACGTCTGATTTTATTTTATATTCTATTTTTGAGCTCTCCAAATGATAACACTGTGTACGCTATGCGTAGGTGTTGGTGACGGTGAATGCTCAGATCGAGCGCTACGTGGCGGCTAGACCAGAATATCCTGCCCTGGTCACTGAGGCCTGGAGGTTCTTGTTGGCGAAAGACCAAGACAGCAAGTTTAGAGGTTAATAAACACACACATCAACACACAAACAGATTATATAACCCCCCACATCTGGAGGTTTTAGTACCTCAAGTAGGTACCTGCAGTAATAGTACTACAATAAAGTGTTAATAGTAGCAGTAAAAGTTACAGCAGCATCATTAATGTTTATTATTGTAAATGTGTTTATTCACTTTCTTGCCAAGAGTTAGAAGATCACTACAACTCATCCTGTATTCATTTGTTGAATATTAAGTACAGGCAGAAGATGGTTAGCAATGACTTCAGGAAGTCAGCGCTCCTGGCCAAGAAATAGTCCCACATAACCCCTCAAATTTCAGACACTGACGATCTAACAAGCACAGTTTGAAGCCATCTGATGCCTTCACGATCACATTTCCAATCACAGTGTAACATTTCCTCATTTGTATCAGAGTGCCTCCAGCCTCAGGGCGGCGACATCATCCTGGACCCATCGCTTCCTAACGGCTCCGTGAGGAACGCCCTGCCTTTGCCTCCTCTTAGCGTCCTGCCGCCCTGCCCTCCTATTCCCCCCCAAGCCAAGAGCCGAGTGTTCGCCATCATCCTTTACGCAGAGTTCCTGAAAGAGCTGGCTGCCATCGCCCAGGAGCACAGCATCGCACTGGACTGTTCTTCCGAGGAGTAATGGGAGTGTCTTGGCCACCAGCAGAAGAGTGAGGGCTTCTAAAAACCCTAAAGCACAAAACATGCACATACATTACACATTGAGCTGTAATGCAAGTGAGTAATTATTGTGGATATTGTAATAAAATGTTGTTTTTATGCGCAGATTTGTATGTACACTGTTTATATTCCTGGCAGCACTTGAATATTTGGATGTTTTCCCAGTGTGAATATGGATATTATGGATTTATTATGGATTATTTATAAGTAGACGAAAATTATTTGAAGGAGATTATTTTGATGTTTTCTATATAATATTTGTGGGATTGGTGCAAATTAGTTTTATATGATATTTTCTGAAATCTTTGCACAAATAGGTATTAAAACCATTTGAATTTTTATTTTATTTTAATTCTGTGGCTGCCATTTTGAATCAACCTCCTCTTGATGCATAAACTAGTACAAGAATACACGTAAACAGACTTCGCATCAGAAAGACTTAACTTAAATAAACTCAACACAAACACCAACCACAACTGGATTTTAAGCAAGTTAGCTAGCCTAAAGCTTTGTAAATTAAATTTGAAAGTCATCAGCTAACATGTACAGGTCCAGGGTGTAGCATTGAGTGGCCTCTAGTGGAGTAGTTGCAGATTGCAACTCCTTTGCTTCACCCTCACTTTCCATGCGCCAACAAGAAAATACAGTGGCCATCTATCTAGAGTCAGTGTTTGATTTGTACTTTCTGGGCTGCTGTAGAAACATTATGGTTCAACAACTTCCATTTCTTAAATACATACATAACCATTCTGCTTCTCCAAACTCTCTCCATTCTGGCAATGGGAGAGTTTGGTTCAACTTAAAATAAGGAACTACACATAAGATTTCTACAAACACATTTACATAAAGTAAATTATTAAAGAAATAATACACTACAGGCAAGAGTTATTTTAATTTCTGCATTTTAAAGCAACCAAACCAAACTGAATGTGTGTTTTTCAGAGAAGTTCAGTATCATTCACGTCCCTCCAGTTGTTATTGTGCATCTATAGAAATCAGTGGCTTTACCTGTACTTCAGTTAACCTTGGAGGGTTTTTTAAA